TCTCGTGTCTCGCTAAATGACCCTCTGAACTCAGTGTTTTTCCACAGGTGGCGCAGGAGAAACTCTTGACCGTCAGCTGATCTTTTGATGTTAAGTCTGTTTTTCCGTCAGAAGATGAACAGCCTTTATCATCTGAAATGAAAAAAAATGGTTATAAATTCTGGGTTTTAAAATATACTTCAAAAGAGTTTGTGTGAAACTCTGCAAGTTAATTAAATAAACTCATGCATAGACATATTGATATTGATAAAGTGAGTTTGGAAATGCAACATTCACCACTCATTTCACCATATTTATAATGTAATTTTACAGTATAATAGCATTATTGCAATCAAAATGTATTTCTTTCATGATTTTATAATTTAACTATAATTATATCATGACAAAAATAATTGAAATTAGATTTTTGGTCAAACCGTGCAGTCTCTCTTAAAAAAACACATTCTAGATCAAAATCTCCATCAAAATGCCATTATATTCCCAAATATCTCAGAATATCTTAACTCAAAATTGATCAGATCATCAGAGACCAACTGTCAATAAAAACCTGATCCTGCAGAGACTCTGCTGACATTCAAGTGTCATAAAAGGAAGAAACAAACCTGGAGGAATGAAATCTTCATCTTCATCATTCCCATTATTCTCATCATCATCATCTTCCTCATCATCATTCTCATCATCCTCCTCCTCTTCCTCATCACGGTGTTGTTGTTCTTTCTCTGCGGTGGTTTCTTCTCCTCGGCTCTCCATCAGGTTCCTGCAGTCCAGCAGTTTGACGGAGCACATCTTCAGCGGCGTCTGCAGCATCTGCTGTTCTCCAGCGTTACAGTCAGAGGTTTGATCAGTGGATTCATGATCCTGAGCGTCAGTATAACAGAGTAAAGTGAGGCTGAGCTCTGAGTCCTGTGTGTCTCTGGATCTCTGATCTCTGACGCTCCAGACTGAATCCTGAGCTTCTGTCCCATCAGCCGCACGCACTGAAACCTGCTCCACATCCTGACAAACACAATCAGTAATACATCTAGTAAGAGTATGATTAAAAACAAGACATTAATTCACATAACAATCAGTCCATATTAGCAGCTGAAGATGAACTGAAGAGCTGCTCAAACCTCTCTGTTCAGTTGGTCTCCTCTTTCTCTCAGCTTTGCCTCCAGTGAAGCCACCTCTTTCTTCAGCTGACAGATTTCTGTGATGAAATCCTCAATATCCAGCATGGACAGATCAGTTCCTACTGATTTACAGCAGACCACATCCACCTGCGCTTTCATACTCAGCATCTGAACACACACACAGCAGGATTATTAAAAGGCACTGTAACAAAGTTCGTTGATCGGGAAGAAGGAGGCGGGAACTGGCAAACATTTAAACACTTTAATAAAATAAACCAACACAAAATAAAAGTAAAGCGGCAGCCCCTTTGCGGACGACTGCCGCACACAAAACACAAAATAAAGTCCAGGCCTGGTCCTCTCTCCTCTTGCACTGTCGTCACTCCTCCTTTTATCCTTCCGGAGCTCCTCCGTGGGACTCGAGACCAGTGAGTGGCGCTCCGTTCCTACGGCTCTTGGCCCCACCTGCGCCACCTGCTGGCAGAGAGTGAATCTGCATCTCATTTAGCTCAGCTTTCATGCAGATATTTTTTATGTATATTTTGTTTATATGAAGAGATTTTTTTATTTGTGTTACTTATTTGATTTTGGGCTTGTTTTAAAATTTCAATTTAGTTTTGTTATTTACATTTACATTATATTTACATTTTGTTATTTAGCAGACACTTTTATCCAAAGTGACTAACAAATGAGGACAATAGAAGCAATCAAAACCAACAAAAGAGCAATAATATGCAAGTGCTATATTAGTATATTATATTTCACTTTCACAAAGAAACGTGCAGCATTTTGTCCAAGCAATAATAAAAGGACACATTTAATTTATAATTTGTCTTAAATCTCATTTTGTAAAAAACAAAATCGTGAATCAAATCGAATCGTGAAATCAAAATCGTGAATCGAATCGTGAGTTGAGTGAATCGTTACATCCCTAGCTAGTGGTAAACAAAAAGAGCATGATATTTAGACTTTGGCCGTTGTAGTTTTTCTGTGTGCTGAATAAAGTGGAAGCAGCGAAAGAGGAAGGAGTAAGAGCTTGAGGTAAGCAGTTTTATGTTTTAGCGCCATGTCGCGTTGATTTCATGTTGCATTTTTATTGGCTGCTGATCAGTAAACGTGGATCATAGCAGAGAACACACTGTGAGATGATCATGCTGTATTTCTGACACTATCAGAAAATAATCGTAGGCTATCTTTGGTCGCAAGACCGTGACAACGGCCATCTTTGAACCTCTCTCACTGTACGACACAGGACCAGCGATTAGGAGCCACAGAAATCCCTACGACTGTTTCACGATGGGACAGCCGTGTGTCTTGGGCTTTAAGGCCGGGACACACCAAGCTGACTTCAAAGAACTAGCGGCGACAAAAGCTGACAGTGTTGTTGCCTCATGTCGAACCAAAAAGCTGTGCTTGAACACACCGCACAGACTTACAACTGACTGCGCCGATATACGACGCGTAAACAAAGCAGCGCTTGCTTACTATTTTGAATAGTCATGTTGATAACTTTCTTCATTTTAAGAAATTTTTATGTTCATATTTAAAACATTTTCTCTCATGTTGTTATGAATATATTTGCATGTTGGAATGCCTGGGAAAGATCACGTAACATTAGAACAGCCCTCTGTCTGCACCGCCTTCATTTACTTACTACTTTTCATCACTTTCACTTTAAAGGGATAGTTCACCCAAAAATGAAAATTCTTTCATTAATTACTCACCTTCATGTCGTTCCAAACCCGTAAGACCTTCATTCATTTTCGGAACTCAAATTAAGATATTTTTGATGAATTCTGAGAGCATTCTGACCCTCCCATAGACAGCAAGTGTCCTTACACGATCAAGGCTCAGAAACGTAGCAAGGAGATCGGTAAAATAATCCATGTGACATCAGGGGTTCAACCGTAATTTTACGATGCTACGAGAATAATTTTTGTACGCAAAAGAAAAAAAATAACGACTTTATTCAAATTTGTCTCCTCCGCGTCACTCTGGTGCCATTTTAGGTAATATCCACTGAACGTAAACGGCGTATACTGGGCCTAAGTATACTGTTTGTATACTTAAGCCCAATCCCAATTCTACCCTTTAGCCCTTCCCCTTTCCCCTACCCCTCTGTTTCGCACGTGAAGGGGTAGGGGTGTCTCGATTCTCTTTTGGTTGGAGGGGGGTAGGGGAAGGGCCAGATAGCCCTTCAAATTAAGATTTTTCGGGACCACACTTCAAACGAAGGGGTATGAATTATCTCAGCGTAAACCGGCTTCAGCGGCAACATGGCTGCCCGAGCGAACAAAAAGACACATAAATGTAAGCATTTTTGGCATTAATAAAGATTTTAACGAAAAGTAATCATTTGTTTTATGTTGCATTCAATCGTGAGTTCATATTACGGTCATGTTACTCAAAGAAATGTTTGCAAAAAATCGCTAATATTTGCTAACTAACGTCATATCATTATAGACTGCACGATAGTGCCACAACATATTTACATGTCTGATCAGGGCGATAACCACCGTAGACATTGAGGGGGGCTAGTCCCCCCAATAATTATAAATCGCTAAACCCTTTTCTCAAATATCGCCAATTCGAGAGAGAGAGAGAGAGAGATATGAAAGATGCGTGTATGCGCGTCTGTGCGTTTCTCTTTTTAGAGTGAGTTTACTTCAAAAACAGCGATTATATCCTGTCGTTGCTGGAAAATATAAAGTAGCGATTCGGTGTTTAAACTGTTATTAATAAAAGTCATGGGGCAGCGTTGACAAGTTTCTTTTCTCCTGGATGTGTGAGCTGCGCGATCTCCAATATATATATATATATATATATATATAGACGACGTATGATGACGTGTGACGGCATAGTAGTGGTGTCCCAATTCTTAGAGGAATATTTTCACCCCTACCCCTTGACACTCTGTTTCAAAGGACAAGGGGTAGGGGAAGGGGAAGGGGTATAAAATAGAATTGGGATTGGGCCTTAGTTTAGTTTTGCCTTGCCTGTTATCTGGTCCTTTGACCATTGCTCGTGTTTACAGATTACCCCTTTTGTCAAGCCCTCTGGATTATGTTCGCCAATCGATGACCCACGCTTGTCCTAGGATTACTCTTTGTCTTGCCTGTGTTGTACCTGTTTGCCATTGTTTGACCCATGCCTGTTATGACCACGTCTCTTAAATAAAAGCATGCAGATGGATCCGCACGTCTCACTTCTCTGTCGCCCCGTAACACTGTTCTGTGTCAGCTGCGTCACGCGAATACGATTTCTACGTTGTACCAATGCTTTGATTGAACAAAAACAACGTATATTCTCATAGCTTCATAAAATCACGGTTGAACCCCTGATGTCACGTGGATTATTTGACCGATCTCCTTGCTACATTTCTGAGCCTTGATCGTGTAAGGACACTTGCTGTCTATGGAGAGTCAGAATGCTCTCAGAATGCGTCAAAAATATCTTGATTTGTGTTCCGAAGATGAACGAAGGTCTTACGGGTTTGGAACGACATGAGGGTGAGTAATTAATGACAGAATTTTCATTTTTGGGTGAACTATCCCTTTAATTCCTAAACTGAACATCCAATCAGAGTTCTCACTCGCACCGACGTGTGGAACACACCAAACAAACTATCCCGACCGTTGGCTTGGTTTGTCCCGACCTTAAGAGTGAATGGTTAAATATTTTATCATCATGAGTGTTATGCTGACCATGCATGCAAACAAACGTTCTTTATATTAATATAATCACAACGCACTGGATAGCCGGCCAATCACAGCACACCTCGCTTTTCAGACCGATGAGCTTTGTAAAAATCGAGTGTTTCAGAAAGGCGGGGCATAGAGGAGAAACAATAATGTACAGTATGTGGAAAATAATGTGTTTTTAAACCTTAAACCGCATAAACACATTTCATTACACCAAATACACAAAAGCATCATATGACCCCTTTAATGGAACCTTTACATAACAAAAATGCAGCAATCTAGTAGTTTTACAAAATTTTTTTTTATCGTATTAGAGACAAAAAAGTGCCCAAGAAAACATCAAAATGTTATTGTTTTACCACGTTAAAAACCATGGTGTTACTACAAACAAAACAACAACAACAGCAAAAAAACAAAAAACAAAAACAGGTTACTATAATGAAACCATGGTAACCAAAAATGAACCACGGTTTTGCAACACTAACCATAGTTTAACCATTAATCATAACCATATAATTGGTAATCAACACGCCCAAAAACCATGGGTGCTACACTTTCACTGCAATAAAACCATGGTTAAAAAATATATCACCTTTCTTTAAAGCATACGTTCAGCTGCTGGACTTGAGATATTAAACCATACTCTGCTCTCTTCTCTGAAAAACTTAAATCACTTAAACCGTCCAGTGGCGAGATCCGAGAAAGCATATCAGAAACTCATAACGCAGATTATGATGCAAGTTCAGATAACCGACCTGACACACGGCTGACGGAGAACTCGGCTCTACTTCCGCCCCAGCGGCACATGACGCACTTCCGCCCCCTGCTGGACTGGAGCGCCACTCGCTGGATATGACTTCGGTTTAAAGATGAAAATGCTCGGCATTGACAGACAAGAGGATGATTGTAGGACAATGGGTACTACAACAATCGCAGACATCATTAGTTTAGCCCGTTTTTCATTACATATGAACTGCTGAAGTAGAGTAGCCGGTACTGACACAGAATACTGTACAGCTGTTTGCGTCGGAGATCCTTTATGCGATTTACGATCATTTACTACATGTCCGGGACCTATTTCACCCAAAATTAAAATCAAATGTATAAAGAAAGCCTAATTTAAGGCCGTTTTGATGCATTGATTCGTGACAATAACTGTCCCTCTCTGAAGCCCCGCCTTAAATCCGTTAATGACCGTTATTCTGCCAGCAACTGTTGCTCTTCTAACATACGCCTGTTTTAAATTATTACAAACATAATATACAGCACATAAATAGAGTATATGGGGGAAATTTAATCACAGTAATGTCACAATGCAAAAAAGCTTAACGGCTTCATTTACTCACAACATGGACATCTTGACAGATTTTAGTTCAACTTTAGCTGGATTATTTGTGTCCCCTTCAAAAATGGCTCTTGAGAAACTCTTCAGCTGCTCTCTTGAGGTCGAAACTGTTTCTTCATCTCCACATGATGAACCACAACTCACATCTGAAAGGAACAAAACTTTAATAAAATAACTTTAAAATGGTCTTTAATAAAGTTAGAGAACATCCACATTAATTCAGAATTTTTCCTGCTGTTCTTTTGGCACGATCATTTATTAACAAAATCAAATCCAGGTCAAATCAACAATAAAAAGTGACTGCTGTTTTCTGCTGCTTGGTTTGAAGTAAATGCTGCTCCGCACAAAAGCACATGTCTGCATAATGCTGTTATTTTTACAGTTAATTAAAGGTGCACTAGGCAATTTTTGCCAAGTGATGTTGATATTTGAAAGCACCAAAACAAACATACCCCCAAAAGGACCTCGCCCCTATTTTGAAATCTTATAATCCTATATGACCAGTTTTGTCTGATTTTGCATAGCTCTAAAAAGGAAACTCCCTGTTTCCACAGAACAATTTCAATTCAGATCGACAGTCCACTACCTCAGGGTGTCACTCAGTCAGTTTCAGGACGATCTGATGTTGCATTA